GTTCATACCAGAGATATAAATAAATTGGTAAAACTCCCAATTATTCATTGGAAACAAATCCAAACAATAGAAACCAATGTCCGGACCCGACATCTGCTCAATGAGTGTCAATACATGCAATCGGTTTGCGATTGAAATTTGTTTGTATTTTATGAGACATTTGTATAGCAATGGCAATGATTTTCTGGCATTTTTAGACACCATTGCACTCATGATATTCATGGACAGAGTGGCCGTAAAACAAAACAATACAATAAACACAAAGAATATTCTCATCCATAGAGTGGTGTCCCTGTGGTGTATGCCATACAACGTGATCTCAAAGCCCGGTGTCGTTATGTAATACATGATAAACGTCATGTATTTAAAGAAATCGTTAAGATTTTTCCACATAAGTGCCATATAATTATACTCTTGAATAATGGGAAATACCTTGTTTTCCATACCATCACTTGAGTTAACAATTAATTTAATTTTAGCATCAATTTCATTCAACTTAAGCAATCCGTAAACCGTAAATATATAGTATAGCAAGAATCCAACCCATAGTATGCCATACGTCTGTACAACGAATACTTGCAACACGATAGAGCCTATGATTAGACTAATTACCGGGGTATTTAAACTTCCCAATGAATACAATAGTATCGTAGAGAATATCCACAGCAATGTACTCATACATATTGAGCCAATGATCAATTGGTTGATCACGTACCTGATGATAAATCTCATTTTGCTTACTAGTTTGATGGTGCTGTGTTTATTCAATGGGTACACCATGGTGTTCATATTAACCTGGTAAGTGTACAATAAATAGTATGCCGTTTGTGTCATCTCTGTATACTGTATGACACATCCTATGCATAGTATTGCGAACGAGAATATAGTGACCACTGTATCCCCGGGCACCGGGTTTGGCAAAACGGCTGTCCAGTCGTACATCCAGTCCCGGATCCATTGCTACGTATGATAAAATGAGCATGTTTATAAAATGTATTATTTTTGTGCTTTATATGATGCTAGTTTTTACCTTATTAAACACCGCACATATACCAAATCTGATGCAATTAAGCAAGCACATAAGTCTATAGAATATAAACATGTATACTCTCCATTTCGCAAAGTGACCTATGTAAAATAATATTATAAATATACAGGGATGACATTAATGGACTCCCCTACTTTGAATTAAAATAATTTTAATACCATGCAGTTTATTTAAATATATTTATTAGCAAATTGTAGCCGAATAGTTAGGATTTTGTTTGGTATATGATTTGTATATTATTAAATTGGATAGAATTTTAACCAAGGTAGTTTGGAAAAAAGTAACAAAAAAATTGTGTTTTTGCATGCAAATCATAGTTTGCAAAGCATAAGTTTAAGTTTTATAAACTGTAATTTTATAGAAATTAATTATTGAAACTATATGTTTAAGAATATGTTTAATAAAATGTTGAAACTGTATTTTATATTATATACAACTTATTGCTATAAAACGTTTAGCTGGTTAATTTGCTAAATTATAAAATTACAGTTTATAAAACTAAAACTAATGCTGTATAAACTATGATTTGCAAACATAAACACAAATTTTTGCCAAATTTTTTCTAAACTACCTTGGAAAAAATTCTATCCAATTCAATAATATAAAAATCATATACCAAACAAAATCCTAACTATTCGGCTACAATTTGCTAATAAATATATTTAAATATACTGCATGGTATTAAAATTATTTTAATTCAAAGTAGGGGAGTCCATTAATGTCATCCCTGTATTATTTTATTAAATGTTTACTATTACTGTATTACTTTTGATACTAAGCACTTAGAATAAAAATGAGACAACTTTTCAGAGTTAACTAAAATTATTAAATCTAAATTAAATTTAATAAAAATTACACTAATTATAGCTAATCTATGTGGCTTTCAAATGATACTTACCGCTTAGTGATAGTGGCCACCTGTCCGCCGTTATTTGACCTAGAGTCAATCAACTTTTCAACTGTCTCTGGACAGGTTTTGAGTGCTTTTGAGTATTTTTCGTAAAAATTATTTTTATTATTTTATATTTCATTATGAAATCTCATTATTTGGCAATATTGGTATAAAATGCATTTCTATATATTATCTAACTTGTCTTACACAATATATCGGTAATAAAGTGTTATTTAGATCCAAAATATAAAATAATAAAAATAATTTTTACGAAAAATACTCAAAAGCACTAAAAACCTGTCCAGAGACAGTTCAAAAGTTGATTGACTCTAGGTCAAATAACGGCCGACAGGTGGCCACTATCACTAAGCGGTAAGTATCATTTGAAAGCCACATAGATTAGCTATAATTAGTGTAATTTTTATTAAATTTAATTTAGATTTAATAATTTTAGTTAACTCTCAAAAGTTGTCTCAATTTTTATTCTAAGTGCTTACTATACAGAGTATATAAAAATTATTTAACATTTGAGTCTATATTATAATTTAAACGTAAATCAAATAAATAACAGGGTTTTCATAGTTAATTAGATGGGACTGGTAGGGTAAATAGTGGACCCTTTGCTGAGGCACACCATATCACTGGTGTTGACGACATTCCTCCAGCCATTCCTAATCATCATTTCATTTAAATTTTGCCAAAATATCACATTTTCTCTGAACCAGCAGTGGTTCAACTGATTGAACTGCGACGCATGGAAATACACTAAACCCGTCAGCTGTCGGCGCCTGACGCCCAGCTTACTGGCCGACACGCCCGTAATAAACACGTCCATATTGTGAGCACATGTATCCAAACATTGTGTGAATTGGATGTTATTAGATTTATGCCATAATTTTGGGTCCAAATTCTTGTCATACGCCAGATATTCGGTCGGAAATGATTGAGTTTTATCAATAAAATCCTTTATCTTGCACGCGGACAGGCATTCTTGTTGGGACTGGTAGCCAAACTTATTGCCATAGTTAATACAATCGGATTTATATGATGTATCCAATAGGCGGACACTAATTCGCCGGTACTCTAGAGAAATGTCAGCAAATGTTGTGTCTATCGTTTGTGATCCGATTGTTGTGGTTGTGTAATGACCCTATTTCTGGGGTGTAGGTGCAAGTGTACATCATTGCCAAATGTAGTTGCGTTCATATACACCATATACTGGTGGAATTCAGGAATCTTGATCATCTTGGTCATTTTCAAATGGCGTCTCTTCCAAAATCTCTTCTTTTCGACGACATAGTAGTCATCGCTTTCACCGTTCAATTGCGAGAATAATGTCATACAATCAAAGTTTTCGCTTATCGCTGACCGTATGGGCGTTATGTCCGCACAATTCACATACCCTTCCCGTTTGCTGTCGTTTAAATGTGTAACCAAATGTGGTTTACTTACCAAACAGTAGCCAAATATATCGTCCGGTGTTTGAAGAGCAGTGAATTGTTCACGAATTGAGAGGTCATTGAAGTACTCGGAGATAATTCTTGATTCTGTTCTCCAGTCATAACTTGTGTTAAAGAATATTCTGTTTTTAATGTCTGGTTTTAGATACAAGTGTTTTGCGGTACAAATAGTGATCGCCGGCAGCGATACATAATTGGAGGGCTGCTCGAGCTTGAGATTAATTGTGGTTTCATATGAGAATTAATTGAAACACATGTATTAATATGAAACTATAACTATCCATCCAATTAGACATAAAACCTTTTTCACATTAAGATTCATTGGAGATATGTTAATTTTGCTGTGACAAATTCATTGTAATTAATTCTGTTCAATTTCATTAGTAAATCTATGTCCACCAAATTATTTACTGTCGATAAATACTTCGCAAATACAAAAAGTACTAAAATAAGTGTTCATAACTTGTTTGTCAAGTAATTTATATTAGTGTAATCTGCGGCATATTTAGTGTATTTTGAACAGCTCAATTATTAATTAATAAGTGTTTTGAAAACAGAATTTTATTAAATAATTTCAACAAGAAAATTCACTAGGTAGAATAATTAGAGTTGAATTATGTTTACAATTAACACAAGTTATGAATCATTATTGAAACATAAGAAAATAATTTATTTGAAGTAGTTTTGCAACAATTGATTTGTCTTACACTAAATTAATGTTTGGCAATTTATATAAATGCTGTTTCATAACTAAATGTATTATTCAACTTTATTTTAAATATTCTAGAACATTTAAGATTCATTTTATAACATTATTTAGCATTGTTCATTGGATTTTAAAAATAAATACAGAATAAAGTTTTATTAAAATATTTTAATATCATTAATAAATTTAATTTAATCATAATTACTTAATATTAATTTATTCTTCATTTGTAGAATTAAATTGTAAAATGTAAAAATTATAATTTTAAAATATAAGATATACTTTTAACTGCAGGGAATACATTTATTTTTTAGTAGATGTAATAACGTTAATTTTAGTGAAAGTATTTCATTTAGGGTTAAATAAATAACTTTCTATTGTATTTTCTACATTAAACTTTCATTAAAAGTCAAATAAACTCTTAAATTCAAAGTAATTTTTATAATCAAACCCCATTTACTATAATCTAATAATATAACTTTAAAAATAATCAAAATAATAATTATAATAATTTTTAAAAACTGAACTTTAAAAAATTAAATTTGCAATCTTAAATTAAATATTTGTAATTCTTTAAATTACAATTTACGTATAAAATCGTGTTTCGTTTTTAATTGATTGCTTGTATGACTAAATATCAGATTTACTTTAAAAACATAGAAATCATTCAAATTTCAATTCAAACATTCAGACAATCAGTTTAATTCATACGAAATACGAGCGCTTTGTCGCCGATTATAGTAGTCGTAGACAACGATGGGAACGGCTTTAGTGTTGACCACACGATGGGTTCGATGGCCACAGACTGTCAGAAAGATCTTCGATCGGGTTATCTGTCAAACGCATACAAATTATCACAAAATCCTATCATTTCTAGCATTTAATGACTAACTCTATCGAAATATATGACAACATTAGTGTCTCCCTTTGTAGTGTCAACGCGTTTAATGTCTGGAGCGCCGGGCAGTGACTCCATGTCCGCCACATAGCCTGAAGGGAGTTCCACTTCCATGACCGCCATATTTGACTCCTTTCCCTCTCGTTAGCTAAACATTAAGTAAAAAATAAACTAAAATTAAGTCCAAAAATCAGCACAAAAACAATGGACACTAAACTGTGTGCAGACATTAAGCCGAAGATAACTCTGCGTCGAAGTCTTGTCGACGACA